GTTACAAAAACAGCCTATAGTGGCGAGCATGGTTGTAGCCGAGAAGCGGTTGAACACTTTTGGCGCATCCAGTATTGTCGAAACTGTGGCCAATATTATGAGTAAGTTAATAACATTAAAAAATTAGACTATTTAATTAATCAATTTATTTCAATTGGAATTTATTTGATAAAGAAGATCAATGTGTTTAATTAAATGTGATTAAAATATTTAATATAAACTAAATAATTAAAACTAAATATAAAAACTAATTAAATATAGATCTGAAGGACATGAGTACCGTGGCTCATCACATGCCTTTGTCCGAGCTTGGAATGGACTCAATGATGGCCGTGGAAATTAAACAGACCTTGGAACGGGAGTATGAGATTTTCCTTACCGCGCAGGATATTCGCAATCTCAATTTCGCTAAGCTCGCCAAAATATTTGAGAAAGATATGAAGAACGAGGAACTCACCGAGATAACAGGAATGAAATTACTCATTCGCATATCGGCGATGATCAATTGATACCCGATGTTTGTATAAAGCTTTCGACGAAAAAAAGCACGACGGAAAGCGAAATATTCCTATTGCCAGGTATAGAGGGTTGTGCAAACGTCTTTGATTTGCTGGTGCCAAAAATCGAAGGTTCAGCGACGTGTTTGCAATACAACACGCATAACATCGGCACAGACTTAACATCAATAAAAGATATCACTAATTGCCTTTTAGAGGTAAATTCTTCACTTAATTAATAACTGGACTCCATAATGTAGAAAGAAGGAAACAGATTGTGATACAATAAAATAACTGCATGCCAGAATACAATGATAACAAGATTACAGTTAAGTATATTTTATCCTATTTTTTTTATGTTAAGTTTTTTTATACTTTACTGTTTTTTATGTGTTTCTAGCACATTTTGAGCAGAGAACAAAAATTGCCACAGAATTTTGTACTAGTCGGCTATTCGTATGGATCGATAATTGCTATTGAATTAGCGCAGAAGTTAGAAGAAATGAATCTCAAAGGCCGATTGATACTCATCGATGGAGCACCCGAGCATATAAAGGCAATGGCTAATGTAATTTGTCCTTTCACTACGTTAGATGAATTCCAGAATAATGTTTTTTTGGGTATATTGGGTTTGTTTCAATCAGCAGCTAGTGAAAAGGTATATATAGTCGTTGATGATGGTCTGAAATGATGGACTTTTCGGCAAAATTCACAAATCTAATCTTTTCAGTTTGTGTTGGAGTTGAACAAATGTACTAATACTAATTGGGACGAAAAGTTAGAAATTTTTTTGAAACATGTTTCTTCGGCTTATTCACAAGTAATGATTGACAAAAGAAAAGCTTTGTGCACAACAATATATAAGCATTTGAACGGTCTTCATGAATACGATGTGACACAAGCACCGAAAATCGAATCACTTATAATACTTTTGAAGCCTACGACATATTCATTACTTTTTCCTCAAGAAGACTATGGCCTGCACAAGGTAATTGAAGTATATAAAAAAATAATTTATACAGCAGAACAGTTGTAATTAATATAAAATTACTTGCAGATTACTGCAGATAAAGGAAAGATAGAAATACACTATGTTGAAGGCAATCACATGACAATAATGGACAATGAGAAAGTCGTTGCTGCAATTAATGAAACAATTAATTCTATTGAACCTATTAAAAAGCTATAATAGATAATAATAATATGACATCTGTGTAAAAAATCCATACTAGAACATAGAAGTTAATATGCAATTTAAAATACTATATGTATACACAATATATACATTATATATACACAAAATCCATATTTAGTTTTATAAGATTTTATAAAACACATCGTTAATATATAATTGTTTGTTTTAACTGTGTATATGTTAAAAATAATATAAACAGAAATTATTTGTTTCAAGTCACAAATAAAAATATCATCTTTTTCCTAAAATTAACACAATTTTGTTCTTTCTTTTAATATATTGCTTCCATATAGTCTGAATATAGTATTGAATTTGTATATAACTATTGAATAAATAGTTTAATAAATGCAGTAAAAATTATTGCAGATATCAGCTTGATTGAATCGAATCAACGGTTTCACATTACTTTACTTATATTTCTTGTTTAAAATTTAAAGTAAAGCAGTGTCACAACTGAAACAAAACAGTATTGTTTTACTTTTCAAAAAAATTGTATATATTAAAGCTTTCAAAAAAAGCTGTCTTATATATAATTAACTATATTATATACTATATTTTATCATATTTTACATACAGGGTGATTGAAAATAATCTGATGTCCTTGCAATGCCATATTTTTAAGCGAATTCTGAGACAATTTTTCCTTTTACAAAATTTTGTCCGAAGTTTACTTTTTGAGTCATAATTAAAAATAGTTTGCTACTCGTTCTAAAAAATTGACATCATTTTGTATACTCTTTTTACAATAAATGTATATGATATATGCCATATTTTTTATTTTTAAAGCATGAAATATAAAGATATTTTTAATTTTTTGTGTCTATCATTTGTAAAAAAATCTTGATAAAAGAAACAACATTAATTTTGCGACTTACAATAATCTGTTTCAATATATGCTTCTTTTAAATACTTACAATTAGCCTTATTTTATGTGATTAACTTAGTATTTAAAATACGTATTAAAATCGAAAATGTATTTTTATTACAGTAGAAAAGAAACATTCTTGTCTTACAACATAGAGAAATGGCAAAATAGAATATTGTCTAAAGTACAATCCAATAAAAACTGTTAAAATTGAACATTTTATAAAACCACTGTGATTCATAAAAAATTAGAACTGTTATTTTTAAAATATAGACATATTTCGACTGTGTGTTTTGAACTGCACTACACATTCAAAAAATCACAGAATAATTTTATTTCTGCAAAGTTATGTATAATGTACAGTATTTACGTCCATAAAATAAGTTATTTATTTGTATTCGCGCTCTCGCGACAGACTGCCCGTCGAGCGCCCTCTCTAGTTACCTTTGTTATCATTTTTGCGTTGCGTTACCTTTTCCTGCCGCTTGAGGAGGCGACAATTTTTTTTATTACAACTGTCTCGCCAAGAAGCACGTATATTGTAAGGCGGCCACGTGTCCTTGAAGAACGCAATAAAATATTTTAAAGTAGAGAAGAATTCAACATTATTTCTCGTCCACACCGTTACACGTAGCAATCGACCGTGAACACGTGTGGTAATACCAGTCGCACATAAGCGAATTCAAAACATATAATGTCAGTGGAAAAGTGATTTATTTATTATTACATATACATGATATTTAACCATTCCTCTCTAGTGTAAGACTACAATGTTTTTTTATCTACTGAATTAGAAATTAATTTTATATTTAATGTGTATTTTAGATACCAAAGTAAACGCATAACATAAGGCTAATTGTAAGTATTTAAAAAAAGTATATATTGAAATAGATTATTGCAAGTCACAAAATTAATGTTGTTTCTTTTATCAAAATTTTTTTACAAATGATACATACAAGAAATTAAAAATACCTTTATATTTCATGCTTTATAAATAAGTTATATGACATATGTCATACGTCATATAACTAATATATAATATAAGTTATATAACATATACATTTATTATAAAAATATATGCAATATATAAAATGATATTAACTTTTTATATAGATACTTTGATGTGAATATGTATAATATGGAGCACATAATATACATAATATATACACATGAAACACATAAATAAAATTATTGTACAGAAATTAGAATATGAATGTATGTAATTAAATAATGTGAATGTTTGCAAAAATGTTGCAAAATTTATGTATAATACATACACTTTTTTATCCTTCAGAGTGCCTTCAACCCATTTTTTT